TAGAACTTGAGGGATTATTCTGGAAAGGTGGTGGATTTTACTGTTGTTGAGGGTTTCCCCACCTCAAGTTAGGATGATTCCTCCAACCAGTACATTTTTCAAGATTTGCAAATAATTGGTTTTCCCTAAGGATCATCATAACTTCTCTAAGATGTCCTAAATGATCATCTTGAGACCTACTGTAGATTAATATGTCATCAAAATAAACAACAACAAATTTTCCTATACATTCTCTCAAGACATGATTCATAAGCCTCATGAATGTACTTGGTGCACTGCAGAGAGCAAATATCAAGAAAAGATGCTTTAATGAGAACCTCAAGGGTTCAATTTTAATCAAATCTGCAGATTTTTCATGGGAATGTAATGTATCGAAGCCAACACTGAGAAACATAAATTTAGAGGTTAGACGTGGACAAAAGATTGCTATTTGTGGAGAAGTTGGCTCGGGAAAATCAACTCTCTTGGCAGCAATTCTTGGTGAAGTTCGTAACACTAATGGAAATGTAAGCTTTTACATCTTTTTAGAAAACACTGCTAAAACTTGTGATACTTTATTTGGTTTCAACTGTGATTACCTTATTAAATTTTGCTTCTATATACGTCATTTATTGCCTTAATTCAACTTGTGGAGTGCATTTTTCATGTCTTTCACTTTAGAAGTAATGTTAATTGGTGACGAATTCTCTTTCTAATTTACAGATTTCAGTTTATGGGAAGTTTGCTTATGTTTCTCAAACAGCATGGATACCAACGGGGACAATACGGGAAAATATTTTGTTTGGATCAACTATGGATGTTCAAAGGTATCAAGAGACACTTAGTAGATCTTCATTGGAGAAGGACCTCGAGTTGTTTCCTCATGGTGAATTCACTGAAATAGGAGAGAGAGGAGTTAACTTGAGTGGAGGTCAGAAACAAAGAATTCAACTTGCACGTGCTCTTTATCAGAATGCTGATGTATATCTCTTAGATGATCCATTCAGTGCTGTTGATGCACATACTGCCACAAATTTGTTTAATGTAATGGTTTCTGCCTTTATTCACAGATATAGTATTTTATCTTCAGCATATTTTAATGAAAGATGGCTTTGGACTTTTTGAAATTTTGCAGGAATACATATTGGAAGGTCTTGCAGGGAAGACAGTCTTACTGGTGACTCATCAAGTTGACTTTCTCCCAGCATTTGACTCAGTTTTGGTAATTTTTCATCCTTAGGCATTGATTTAGATAATTTTTCTTTCCTTTCTGTTTTATCTTCTGCATGTAGCTTATAATTGTAAATGAGTGACAAAATTTGACGTTAAGATTTCTGTTTTGTTTAGACTCTATATCTCTTGTAATTTAGATTCTTGAAAGTATCTTCTTCCATTGTTACATTTACCTTAGTAGGCTCTACAGTCAAAACTAAATCATTAGTATCAGATGATGTACTTGAATTTTTCTCCTCTACAATTTATCTTCTTCCTACCTGTTGCTTACATAAAGATTGATAGAAACATCTCATCATTTAATGAAGTTCCCTCTCTCTACTAACTGACAGTTTATGTGTGAAAAATGTATATTACTGAGATTTTTTCGCTAAAAGCTTTTTGAAGAATGAAGATGAAAGAAATATACTTGAGAGGATACATTAGTTTTCCCCCCATATATACTTGCTAGTTTCTAATAGAATCATTAAAGATTGAAACCTTGCATTATTTCAAGGTTCTTCTGAATAAAAGGTTTGATTTGAGTATTTGTCCATAAGAGTTAATATTTGACCTCTTGTTTAAGATTTAATCTAAGCACAATTCATTGTCAGTCTAGCTCAATGGCAACTATTCATTTTTGTTCAATTCCTTTTTTGTCATTAGTAATAGTACCAACTTAGACTTGCTATCTAAAAATTGTTGATGAACAATTTTTTTTTTCTCTGTAGTTGATGTCAGATGGGAAAATCCAACAAGTTGCCCCTTATCACCTTGACACACCTTCGTTTGATATTAGACCCATAGTCGTCTGGTGTACATATCATACTTTGTCTATTCAGTTGGCTTGGTTTGTCTGATTCTCATGATGTGCCTTGCTTTGACGATTCTTCATCTGAGTTGACCATTTGGCTTCCTCTGATGTTTGTATGGACTTCATCTGATATTTATCGCATTTTTTCTTGTTCTAGATTTATTCTTGTTTTGGCCTTTCGTCTGATGCTTCAAGGTTTCGACTTGAATGTTCTTCTGTCTTTTGATAAGACCTAGTCTTGTTGCTTGACCAACCATTATCTGATTTTCTTGTTTTGTTCTTCCAGACTTCGCAGGAAAATTTCTTGTTTTGTTATTAGAAACTTTCTTGCAATTTTTTTCCCAAGAAATTTCGCAGGAAATTTTTTTGCAAATTTTAAAATTCGCAAAAACATATTATCCACGAAGGTATTACCTGAAGATAAAATTTTGCAAAAAAATTAATAGGAATAATATTTGCTACAAATTTTAATACAAAATTCGCAAAAAAAGTCGCTTGTAATAAAAGAAATTCTAGTAGTGTATGAATTTGTAAGCTTTTGCATTAAAAAACTATATTAATTGTACAAAATATTTTAATCTAAAATTTATTAATATTAAATATTTGTGACGAATTACTATTGACCCAAATATTTTAATTTTATTTGTGTAAGGACATTGATTTTTTTTCTTCTCATTTTAGTATTTACGATGAATTTGTAATTATTTTTGTAATAATTTTTAATATAATAATATTTATGAAAACTAAACTTTGTCAGTTATGATTATTACTCTATAGGTATTTAATTTTTTTCTCTGGATTTGGAACGACCCATTCCGGATCTGAATGTTAGGTGTTAATCTTGCACCCTAGAACGGCCCGTTCTGAAATCAGAACGGCCCGTTCCGGAAACCAGAACGGCCCGTTCTGAAATGAGAACGACCCATTCTGAAATGAGAACGACCCGTTCCAAACCAAGCTTTTTAAGCCCTTTGATTGGTTTGGAACGGCCCGTTCCAACATACAAATTTTAGGCCTTTTAGGAGCCTCGGAACGACTTGTTCCAATTCAAGAACGGCCCGTTCCGGACTTGGGAACGACCCGTTCCAATTTTGGAACGGCCCATTTTGGGCCACTAAAAATAGTTAATTTAGAATTTTGGGCCACTAAAAATAGTTAATTTAGAATTTTGGGCCCTCTGATGTCCATCTTGTTGTTTGTATGCCCCCGGACGAAATTAGGTGTCTACAGCTGCCCCTCTTTATTTGTCCTTTGGAATAGCTGTGTTGTTTTTCCAAAGGCAAGTAAAGACGTAGACATTTTGTTCGGGTCTTCTTCTCGTCTCTGTGTTGACGCTTCTATGTTGCTTCCCTTGGATAGGTGTATTTCCTCGTATTATTACCCTTTAGAGCAGCTGAGTGTTGGGTTGCATACTCTATGGGGTAACATGCGTGACAAACTATACATCTGATCTTCAGTCTTCGAGTAGATGCTCCATTATTTTTCTTATGATAGTGTGTCCCTTTATTTATAGCTTGTTTAAGAGGGAGTATTTTTGTAACCTCTCCAGGCTGGACTGATATTTTAAGGCTTTAGTCGGCCTCTTCTAAAGGTAGGTAATCCTCTTTGTTGTTGAAGTATTTTCATAGCCTTTCCAGGTCGTAGTATTTTCATAGCCTCTCCAGGCCCTAGTATTTTCATAGCCTCTCCAGGCCGTAGTATTTTCGTAGCCT